AAAAAAAAAAAAAAAAAAAAAAAAAAAAAAAAAAAAAAAAAAAAAAAAACAACAAAATCTCCGTCAGAAACACAAACTAGATTTGGTCTCTCACTGGAAAAACGGCGCGGAGACTCACCGCCATAGACGACCGATCGAACTTAGCCTCAAAAGCTTTTTCCTCTCTTCCTTCGTCTCCTCTTTATCGCTTCATATAAATTTTCTCTCTTAATTAATTAATTAATTTAATTAACTATCTTCTTTTCCTGCTTTAATATATTAATGATCTCTTGTCAATGACAACAATTTTCAATCCCGAAACTACCCCTATCTTTTGCATATAATCACGTCTTATGCCCTTCCCCTTTTATACCGACTTTTCTCGTCGTTATCTTTAACCGTTGGGTAAAAATAGAAAGGTGACTTTTTTATTTTTAACCGCAAAAATAAATTATAAATAAATAAATAAATTTCTTGTCGGCGGTTTTTTGTATTCGAAACCGCTATCCTAACGGTGCCGTCTGCTACACTTGACGGCAGTTGATATTTTTGTTGAGTGAGATATTTATCAGTATTAAATAAATTAAAAAATACTTGTTTTTTTAATATTAATAATAATAATAAATCATAAATACTCTTCTTCTTCTTTTTTTCTTCCTATTTTTTGTAAAATTGATTTGCTTGGTCAACTTTGGTCTGCATAATCATTTTTCCCTAACTCCATAGATACTTTTTGGATCTCACAATCTATCGAATGGCCTGAGCGTCTTTGATGATACACCGCCTCGTGTCCACCCCTTTGGGGCCAGCGTCCTTATTGGCACACCGCCTCGTGTCCACCCCCCTTCGGGGCTCAGTCTCCTTGCTAGCACATCGCTTGGTGTCTGACTTTGATACCATTTGTAATAACTCAAGTCTCCTTGCTAGCACATCACTTGGTGTCTGACTCTGATACCATTTGTAATAACTCAAGTCCACTGTTAATAGATATTGTTCTATTGGATTTTACCTGATACCATTTGTAATAACTTAACTCAAGCCCACTGTTAATAGATATTGTCATTTTGGACTTTACACCCTTATAAGACTTCCCCTCAATGTTTTTAAAATGTGTCACACCCTTATAAAGAATATCTTGATCAGAATGTCTGAAGTCTAAATTTTCCGTCTCAATGTGATAAATGAGAGTATGAAGATTTGAACCTCTGACCTAAAAGAGGTAGTACATGTCAATTATCGTTGAGTTATGCTCACTTTAACGATTTTTTGTTGTTGAACCGAAAAAAATAGTTTAAGCACATGACATTCGCTTTAATTTTTAATTGGTCGAATTGGTTTAGAAAGGTAACAATCAATAATGTGATGGGAAGTGAAATGGGATGGAACACTATGGGCTTTAGACACTTTCCTTGGTTCCCTTAATAGCTAAAGTCACACTCACATGCAAAAGGGGTTTAAAGTTTCTTACACAAATGGTAGGAGGATGGATTTTTAGTTCTCTCTCTCACTTTAATAACGAGGGAAAGTACGTGTGGTCATTTATTTAAGTCGGTTCCTAGAGAATCTCGAATAGATCTCGAGATGAAAGTATCAGCGTTAACATTCAATATACAGATAATATGCAGTAAAACTGTTAACTCAACAACGGTAATGAAGGGAGAGGAGTTCTACCCAAGTTGGACCATAGGAAAGAAAAAGGCCGAACAAAATCATATTTAAGGTGAGGCTGGTGGGTCTAGCTCAACTAGATGAAATTATAACCCTACATGTGAGTCAAGGCTTGACCCGATGAAACGAGAAGCTAGTGTGTATGGACCCATCCAACTACATGTGGAAGTCGAACCATTGACTTTAAAATGATAATGATTGTTATTTTCATTAAGCTATACTCGAATGCGTCATATCACAAGAGCCACTCACACAAGCCTATTGTCTCCTAAATATAGTGTGTATTGAGCAAATTTCGTTTGATATTGTGCTTCGCTTCACGACCTTGAACGATGTCATCTCACCTTCAGCTGAACACAGTACATGCAATCAATTGATTGCTAGTTCAAATAAGACCCAACTAACCTCGAATTTTTTTTCCTACCACAAAAATTATTTATTAGGCCAAAGAACGGTAAGAAACGTCGTTCCAATATACAATTTTTCTATAACTAAATATGTTTTTTTTTTTCAATTCAAATGCAAATCATCATTTCTTATATAATAATGTGTTAACCAATAACTTATATCTTTAATGCTTCATTTGTTTTGAATTGATCAAATATTTAAGGAATATAATTGGGACAACAAAAAGAGGATTCCCATATATAATAGTAATAATAATAATAATAATAATAATAATAGATGTGTTGATAAATTAATTAAAAACTAAATATGTTTATGAATTATTATATAATCAAAATTAAAGATAATTTGATGAAATTTTTTTCCTTAAAATATTTAGACTAAATTGGGATTAAATTATTATAAATTAAAATTAATTAAACGTGAAAATTTAGAAATTAAATATTTTAAAACATAATTAAAATATTAATTAAAAAGTTTAGTATGAATTAAAGCAATAAAAAAAGTTTATAGTTTAAACAAAATCTTTAGGAAGTAGGGTTAGGTTAAAGTTTGACGTAATAAATTCTTAAATTCATTGTGGGTCCCACACACCTTCACCTCCAATTTTCCTTGGTGGGCTCCACAACTTCACTTTCTGCTCTTTTCTAAACTTTTTTTTTTTTTTTTTTTAATTTACCTAATTTGACTTATAATAGTTAAAAATAATGTGTATAATTTTATTATTTTGAGATAACAAAATATATTTTGGATTAACCCGTTATATCCTAATATTAAAAAAACTTAATGTGTTAAAATAATACAAAAAAAAAACACTTATTTTATTTATATCAATCAAAATTGATACTTTTAACAAAATTATAAAAAATTCATAAAGTAATTATTATACATTTTCTTTTAATTCTCGATTTTTATAGAAGAAAATTGTTTATCCAACAAAACGTAGAAAAATACTCACAATATTCATTCGTTTCTTTCTCCCATTATTTCTGTTAAAACAACTAAGTCCACCTCGATTCTATACCATACCGTTTGTCATTTAAGGGGGAAGGGAGTTTTGAGCCACGAGTTGACGACCAGACATTCTATGTTTAAACAAAACAAGTATTGTATTCTAAATACAAATTTTTGTGACTCATAACTAAACAACTTGGCATTCTACAAATTATTCAACTCCACGGATGAAATAACGAACTATACTAAATAATTCTAGACTTAATAACTTTACTCTATGCCCCAAATGCTGTCTCGAACGTACTCGAGTAGACAAAAAGAAAAAGTTTATACTAATACAAATTCCCACAAGCAAGATGCCTTTGAAGCCTTGATGTGGGTCGCAACAAGCAATGAAAATGGAAATTGCTAAACATATGAAAGTGGGTTTGGAAAAAATGAATAAGAAATTCAAAGGCAGAGCTGAAAAAGAATGGTCAGTCATATCAATGTTACCAAGAAATTGGAGGAATGGTTCCCCAGACAGAAAGTGAGGACTGCATATATCCCCTCACTCTTCTTCTCCGACCAAAGGCATCATTCTCCAGTTAAAGATGAAGCATTTTTTCACTAATAAAACAACCAAAAAAGCAGACCATTTCATTATTGTACTTCAAATTCCTCATGTCAGGCACCTGTCAATCTCTCATTTCCAGAAGAAAAAAGAGAGAGAGAGAGAGAGAAGCATTATGATTTATACACATGCAACAATGAATGCAAAAAAGAACGATCCAATGCATTTGATCAAGTAAATTAAAGATCTAACTGTAAGTGATTTGGTGTTGTTGGGTTCTATGATGCAGAAAATCAAGAAAAAAAATTCTCTACAACAGCTGATTTGAATGGTATTTATGAAGTAAAATGGAGAAGTAAAGCATCATGAACCAATAATTGCAGATCATATGGTGTAAATTATTTAGGAGCAAGAAAGATCTCCCACAGCCACCACCATGTACAACAAATGCATAAAGATCTAGGCAGAATGGCATATTAAAATAAGAGAACAGATGGAAGAACCAAGCCACTATTGAAAGAGGCAAAGAAAATGCTATCGACATAGTGGCCAATACATGGATATATAACCTAAACAGAGTGCTGCTGATTCGCTCAAAAGAAATCTACAACACTGGATTTAAATTGGTTGTTTGTGTCGGAAATCTTATAGAAAATGTCAAGCCAAAAATCATGAATGCATCCTATGATTCTTAAGCCTGTGACTAATTGGACAATGACTAGAACGCACAAAGATTTAAGTATCAATTCTCTAATTCACAGCACCAATCAGATACACACTAGTTAGATCAGTACTAATTTTTATAAGCTCTGCAAATCTTCATCCATGTGATTATTGGCGTGAAGTGCCCAACAAAAAACAAATTACGTGTCATAATTTGCAACAAAGGAAGATTTTGGTATTAAACTAATATAAAGAAAGATTGGCGGTCACAAACATTAAGATATTTTGCCACAGAGCCATTACGAAATTCCTCCACTCCTATTAGCTGAACATATTTTATTCAGAAGGTTGCCTGTTGGCTAACCTTTTTAAGATGTTCTCTCTTCCCCTCCGTGCGTTCATCAGGAAGCCAATTGAACTATAACGTACCTGCAAAACTCAAAATTTCCACCCATATGCACATGTACACAGAAGAGAGGAGGCATGTGTGTTTGAATGTGTATATTGTATGTTGTATGAATGGTGTATATTCATGGTCATACCGTGCACAATGACACATCAATAAAACGACTTTTACATGTGTTTGTGACCATTATATGACAATCATTAAACATGCCCGTATGCTTGCTCTTTCTGGTAGAAACACCAAGTGCCATCTAATACTAGTTTGATGTTTTTACTTGTACCTGATCACCCAATTTCTGTACGTTCAAGTGAAGAAAAGGGGAAAGGAATTAACCAACAAAAACTGAAATATACTGATGGAGATATCATTCTGTATGCTGTCTAAAAGATACTTCAATAAGGAAGAGAAAACAAACATATTTTAAAGGATCCTTACAAGAGAAGGGAATATGAACCAAAAGTATAAACGCGGGCCTTCAATGAAGGAATTAAGAACTGGGTTTGAGTCAATTATGTGCTAAGGAGCCACATATAACTAGACCCTCAAAAATTTCAGGTAAGTAGAGATAAGTTGGATCTCATTTTTGTCTCAAGTATGGCGGTCATTATCGATGAATTTCTCGATAAGACTTGAGAGATTCCACTGTGTCAAGTACAAAGCCACAAAACCAATAAACAATTGGAGCAACAATGGATCCAATCCAAACAAAAGCAAGAATTCTCTACAACTTTGGTCAGACAGAATTCAAAAAATGCACCTATTGGGTATACCTCGAGCAAACTCCACGTTGTTTAGTTGATTTACTTTTGTTGGCATTATCTGCCATATAAGCTTCCTTAGCTACCCTGGAAGGTAACATCACCAGACATCTTAGTTTGTTCATCTTCCTGGGTTACTACATCTACCTTCCTAGCTTCCAATGTGTCTTCCACCTCATTAACTACAGTTTCCTGATTAATATGAGATATCTCTCCTACAGTTTTTACCTCAGTCTCCTTCGTGGTTACCTGAAATGATTCTGTATCAATCTGCAGGAGCTCCAAAGGTGTTGCTGCTGGATCCAATTCCCGACAACCCTTCGGAGCATTTTGAGCTTCGTCTCCCGTAAGTAAGTAATTGGGGACCTGATGGGAGAAGCGAAACATCTCTTCTTTAGGGATCTTCCTCACTTCTTTTGGATCCATGTTTCTACAGAACACTGTCCTGAAACCACCAACCTTAACAAGAGGAGCAACAGACACGCCTTCTTTTTCATTAAAATCATCAAGCACTTCTACCATATCGTACTTGTGAATCATTTCTTCTGAAGTATCTTTATTCCAATCTGCAGACCAGTTTCTATAAAGAGCCCAGACTTCACCCTTCTGAGGAAATATCTGAATCACCCCTCGTAAACCTTTCACCCAGCAAACCTTATGCGAGAAGGAGTTCAATGATCTTGTGACTTCATGTTTTCCAATTCTGAAATCCCCACAGGTTTTTGTGAACCCCGAACCTACCCAGTCCATTGGGCCAATCTCCATGTTGCTTCTTGAGTTGAGCCAACTGAAACGCATTCTGAATGGTCTTAGGGACATCACCTTGTGAATTCGCGCATAGAAACGAGGCATTCCATCATCATCATCATAACAAGCCCAGACTTGATCATCCCCAAATGAACTTTCAGCTCGGTCCAAGTCAAAATTATGAAAATCAGGGTCTGGAACATTAATTGAGATAGGATCGTTCTCACTGCCTGTATTTTTACTAGCTAAAGAGTCAGACTCAGGCTCCTTCTCATTCCATCCTTTACCGTTTGCAGAAGGTTTACCATTAATTTTTATATCATGAGTTCCATCATTCACCACATTCTTTTGCTTCTTGGACTGTTTATTCAGAGTTGACTTTTCAGCCAATGAGCTCCATTCTTTAAGTTTCTTATGTATTTCAGCACGAGACTTGTCCATTAGCATGTTTCGGATTTCAAAGATTGACAACTCTCTCTGGCTATCGGTCCTGTTAAATGCATAATAAAAACTATGAAACTTTTGAGTATCAGGATAACTCTTCCTTACTTCAGATAAGCCAACACCAGCTGATCCATCTCCACTGGCCATTTGATTTGCCGCGTGGACCCCAAAGCTGTTAATTCCATCAGTTCTTTTCTTTTTTGAAGACAATTGACTCCTATCCACTTCAGTCGATGGCTGTGTTTCATCGCGATCTCTCTTCACTTTCTCACTGGCCTGTTGACCCAAATTTGCAGCTCGTGCGGAAGCTGATGAAAAAGTGCTACCAACACCAGCTGTCCTGGAGGAAGGACCCCACTGAAAGTTTGTATTATCAACTGAATTAATACCCCCAGAATGCCCAGAATCAGGTTTTTTAGAGTTTCTTCCAGTACCATAGGCATCGCCAGTTGTATACTGTCTAGAATTTTGATGCTGCTGCTGAGAAGACCAACTAGGTGACTTCAATACATTTGGGGGTGGAGCCCTCTCTACGGCCAAAAAAGCTTCATGACAATTAGGACAAAGGAGAGTGTGATTTAGATAGACTCTAAGGTACTCATAGTGTGTCTTGCATCGGTTGCAAAGAGTCCAAAAAGTATCTGGTTTTCTTTGAGAAGCCCCTACCTGGACCTTACTTTGAACGTTCCTTGCATTTGAAGCTACATTCTTAAAATTTTGAAAGCCATTTGCACTTGGCGGCACTGAAGTACTATGTGTGTGGGTAGGAGTTTTCTGTCGACCCCCTTTCAGGTCCCTTTTCTGATTATAAGCCAATCTCTTTGCCTTGTCAGATAGCAAACTCCAGGCCTCCGAAACCAATTTAAATGCGCCCTCTGCACCAAGTGACTTGTTTTTATCAGGATGAAGAACAAGAGCCAGCTTTCTATATTGTTTCCTAATAGTCTCATCATCAGCCAAGTGGTTCACACCAAGTATCCCGTACCAATCCGTTTCCCCATTTATCTTATTCTCTGCAGAGATATACACTTCAAGAGTCGTCATCATTTGTGAGAGACCATCAAGCCCAGGATACAAATTTTGAGCCTTCAAAACAAACTTCTTTGCAGCAGAATAATTTCTCTCTGTAAATTTTCTCTCAGCAATTTCTTTTGCTCTAGCTGCCTCATCTTTGTTGCACTCCATAATTCCCTACGAATCTGACTCTTAAAAACCACGCCTATCTATGAAACTTCAAATCTATGAAACTTCAATCAACCAATAATATCTGACTCTAAATAGGCAATGGTATAGTAGAAGTTAAGATACCTGATACAAAATCAAATAAAATGTTATAAGTACACCTGGCTGCTAGAGTGGGCAGTACAATAGTTTTTTTCTGGGGGTTAGGTTCAGAAGAGAGAATTGCTAAAGAAACTTAGAGATAGATTGATAAAAGTTAAGCATTAGTATATATATCAACATTAATCATGATGAATGTACTGAAAAAAAATCCAACTCAAATGTCATGCAAATTCTATAATTCGTCTTTTTATTCAGCAATAACTGCCTCAATTTTTATACTCCTCAACTACTAGTCTAATAGTATTTTCTCTGCAGTATCACTAGAAAATGCGTGCCCAATCCCAAAAATACGCTCAACATGTCCTCCATGAGGATTGTAATACCAAATCAAAAGATAATAGTGAAAAATCGAATGCCCAAGATCACGTAATACTCTAATCAAATTCTAACCAAACTAGAGAATTAATGCTTCCTACATGCAACAATTAAATGCTAGTTTTCTCCATCATTCATCCAAATCCAGAACATGAAAGATCAGGAAATCTCACTAATATACTCACATGATCTCCAAAGCAAATACTCTTACTACATCCACACAATTACTAAATTACCAAGTCCAAGGACAAAATGTTTTCTGTTTTTATCAAGTTGTTGTTTTAATTATAACTTAGATATCGTTTCTTACTGTCCCTTCTAATATTGTAATATGGTTATTAGTTTTCAGTAGTTCTTTAAACACCACAAGATTTTGAAGCACAGTGCACAACTGCAATATTATTTAGCTCAAATGTTGTGCATGAGAATACCACTAGAGATCCTGAAATTGCCAAATATAGTAGATCAAGATTCCAAAAATTAAATTATCAATCTATTATTCAATTTATTTTCCTCAAATATGAGGATAAGAATTTGAACCTCCAATCTCAACGGAAAAATAAGACACCTTGACTGATAAGTTATGCTCGTTGGTAAAAAAAAGACAACACATTTGGTAATCGATTAGACAAGAATATCATTTTATTCAGAAGAAAGATAACATGCTCTTATTTACTTCATTCTAAAGCTAATAAATAGACTGTGCAGCATTTGTTTGGTTAGTATCCCTTCGGTCTGAAATGTTAGAACGATTATATTAGGTAACTTTAGTAAGAAGCTTTTTTTCCGTGAACAGCTGACCAGAGCAAATGATTTGCAGGCAGAGTGATAAAATCAAAGAATAGATCCATGGGATATGTGACTCATTGCTTCTATGTCAGGCAACCTATCTAAAACTTCTTTACGTCACGGTTCTCGGGATGTTTGGAGCATTTCATCTATTTCCTATACTCAACGTCTAAATCTTGAAATAAATAGCAACCTATAAAACATTGTATTCGCTAATCAGACTGCATATTATAATTTACATACATGCAACCAAGAACAGCATCATAACGCATGTGGATAGACTTCTAAAACTATCCATATAAGATCATCTTCCTGTCAGGAACTCATTGTTCGCATGCACCTATGAACTCTTAAAAGTAAAACTACCCGTCAAGTCATCACACATTACATCACTTGCTATAAATGCATAATTAACAATATAATTTACAAATTGAAACCCACATTCTCCTCAAACCCCCATCGGAAAACCAGATACGAGATAATCACGATTGCATACTGAGAGCCACTGAACAGTAAACGATAGTAGTTCAAAAAAGAAAAAACAAACAATCGGAACAACAAGCAAGCTAATGACTGATCCAAGAACAAGGAATTGGAACTCGAAGCTAACGGTCAAATTTGAGTAAGAGCATTTGAATTGAAGCAATCCAGTAGTGAAAATGAAACCCTAAAACAACTGAGATTGAAAGAACAACTTTAAGCAGAAATGAAGCTCCATCGGAATCAAGAAAATTGAAAATCGTAGAAAGAATTACCTAATACGAAATAAATAGAAGAGGTCCGAGTTTGAAGTGATTTGAATCTGAGAAGACCATCACCATGTACAGTGACCCATTTGTCAAAACCACCAGAAGGGCTGAGAGAATTTCCAAATGTCCTAAAAAAAACTGAATTTTTTGGAGGAGACAAAAAATTAGCAAGTATAGGTTTGGTTAATGTTTAACCCTTCTTCTTCTTTTTTTTTTTTTTTTTTTTTTTTTTTTTTTTTTTTTTTTTTTTTT